CTTGGACTGGTACCGGCCTACCTGTAGCCTACCGCTACTGGGCCTCTAAAAATGCCAACTTTTTGTCTTCTTCTGCTCGGCCTCCAGTACCCGACGCTTGTACCACTACTTCAGTGGTACCGGCCTACCTGCTACTTGAGTGTTTTTCCCCTCTGCTCTAAGTGTCGCGGGCCTACCCCCGCTACTCGAGTGTTTTCCCCCCTGCAACCCTCAAAGTCACGGCCACAGGTAAGTACCGGCCCTGCGGGGCCTTTCAACCAACAAGTACCCTTGCGGGTCACACACACACGCAGCCAACAAGCACTCAGACAGGCATGCAAACCAGCAGGCACACACACAGAGACATGGAAATCACAGCAGAATGTGGGAATCTCAGCAAGGTATTCATTCCAGCGGCAAATCCCAGAAATCAGCAGTGTTCTCAGTCTGTGTTTTTGGCGGGTCATTACAGAAGCGTGTTTTGCAGGTTGCAAACAGTTCTTTTCATAAGGGACACCGGGCCCAGTTCCCGGCACATGCTGCTCCCCACGAATAGACTGACGCTGTGTTTCTGCCAAAAAAAAAAAAAAAAAAAAAAAAAAAAAAAAAAAAAAAGGAGAGAGAGAGAGAGAGAGAGAGAGAGAGAGAGAGAGAGAGAGAGGAATGCGAGCAAGTTAGTGGCAGTCTGAGGAAGGAGGGAAGGGTTCAGTCTGTCCTCAAATGCTGATGATCTCTATTGCCACTTTGTGTATGGTTTTAGGATGTTTTGGAACTTCGTCCTTTTGACAGTAGACGAGTGCGTTTGCTTTTTGAGCAGGTTTGGAATGTCCATTCTTAACTCCATTATTTTGTGATGCCTTTGTTATCCATTCAGTGTATGAGTGCGCAGGGAGATGCTGTCGATCCATCCCTTTGCTCCAGCTTGATGAAGCCCAACATAAGACCAGCATGTGCCATTCCAGAGGTTCCTTGTTATTTCTGCTCCATCACAGATTGCAATGGGAGAGGCATATGCACAGTAAGTGTACTGGGTTGTGGGTTGTGAAAGTGCTCCATCTACGTGTGAATATGTCTGGAATCTGGATCCTAACCAAGAGTCTATAACCTTTTCCGAAAACTCACTGAAATTCTCCGATCAAAGGGTTGATCACCAATGCCAAACAACCAGCTCAACCGCCTCGACGGTATTCGTTGTAGTGCTTCCCTGGAGCAGGCTACGCAGCAGCCAAACGAACTGGAAAAGGCAAGCAATCCGAAGTATCAGTTACAAATTTACAATGAACAGCATGAAACATAATGGAAACTATTGGAAAGCTACCATACTATTGAAAAAACATTTTTTTTTAAATTAAAAAAATAAATAAAAAATCATATATTTCCTATGGGCTCAGCTTTTTTTTCTTCTATGAATTAAATTGAATTTCGGATTTCCCTCTTTTTTGTTTCCCCAACTTTCCCAGAAGCAACTTGTATGCTTTGCTGGAAAATGGGATCAGCTTCCCTCACATACATGACCGAGGCCCCAAACTGAATGCCTCTCTCCATTATGGCCGAGAGGTACGGAGACAGCGGCATGGATTCCTTCCTGTGGTATGAAGCGTTTACCTCTTCTCGCCCCTGTTGTCTATACTCTACACATGTAAAAACTCGCATCCTTTCTCTTTTGGTTCGAAGAAAAGCCTTTTCATGCTGC